CTAGGTACTGGGAATACAGTGGTGAAAAAAAAAAAAAAGAAGAAGAAATTTAAAAAGAAAAAAGAAGAATCCCCTGAAGGGCTTATTTTAAAGAGTTTCTGATTCAGAAGGTGTAGGATAGGTCTAAGAATTCTCATTTCAAACAAGTTCCCACGTGGTACTGAAGCTGTAAGTCAGGAGGCCACATTTTGAGAATGTATGGCTTAGAGCTTTCTGAGAGAAAAAGCAAAGAAGAAATATCAATTGTGACAGTCTCTTCTCCTATTGCCCCAAGCAACTAAGCTCTGTTCCCAAACTTGTATATTCCACAGTGTAAAACAAAAGCCCCCCAGCTAACTAGATTTAATCTCCTTGAAGGCATTTTAGAATTCCCCTTGGTGGGGGAGGAGAGGGAAAGAGAGAGAAGAGAAAAGACGAAGGGAGGTGGGTGGTATCCTACCCGCATTCTTCCAACCACATATAATATTCCACCTGAGAAGAATTTCAGGTAAATGTGACTTGTTGGATTTCTAGGAGAGTTCTGTTAGTCCCTTAGAGATTGTCCTGGGTAGGAGGGCTAGCCCCTTTATCTAGTTCTAATGACATGATTAAATTTATGTTTTTGTAAGATCCTTCTGGTTATCAGGAGGAAAATGGATAGAAATGACACAAGATTACAGACACAGAGCTGAGCTGGTAGACTGTTAGGCAATCCAGATGAGGGTAGAGAGGACAGAGAGAAAGGAAATGCAGAGTAGAATGGTTCTGTGAGTTTTTGGACATATAACTGAGAGGATATAATGACAAGCAGTGTACGAAGAGGGGAAAGGGTCAAGGATGATTCCTGGGCTTCCAGATAGACTGCAACAGGGTGGATGGCATTTACTAAGAAAGAGAACACTGGAGAAGGAGCTGGATCAAGGAGACAGATGATGAACCTCTAGTCATGCTGATTCTGAGATATCATAAAGACACCTAAGTAGCCGTGTCCAGCAGGCAGCTGTATCTATGACTCTATGGGTCTGGCCCTCAGTAGACAAGTCTGGGCTAGAGATATAAATCTGGGAGTCATCAGCATATAGTGGTAATTAAAGCCTTGGGAAAAGATGAGATCACCCAATGGGGGCATACAAAGCAAAATCAGTTTTTAAATCAATAGTAAAATTCACTGAATCATGGGCTATCTTCTTGTAGACTTAATCAGATACTAGGAAAGCATTTTTATTTGGTTGATGTGGCCAAATTCAAAGACGTTATCATCATTTACTGGAGACATTACATTTAATCAAAGGGGCTGTACCAATAATGATGATGATGGTGGTGATGATGAAAACAAAAACAACAATGATGAGCACTGAGTTCTTATTACACGCTGGCCACAGCTCTAAGTGCTTTCCATGTGGTACTAATTATTGAAAGTAGTTACAGCCCTCTGAGGTAGTTATTATTATTAGTCACATTTTACCAATGAGGAAACAAAAGCAGAGAGAAATTAAATGACTTACTCAAGGTCATATAATAAATAAGAGTCAGAGACAGGATTCAAACCCAACAGTTTGCTTCCTAATTTGTGCTCTTAAAAGCACTCTATACATTCATTAAACCTAAATATTACTATTCAGGACACATATAAAGCAAGGAGAAAAAAATTAACACATTAACAACTTTGGCACATCTATAAAATGAGAAACTCTTACACATAATACTGGAATGTATTCATTAACCAAAAAACCCTGTATTTATCCTGAGAAATATAAACGCTTACTATTTACATAACCCTTCCTTCCAACAGTTTTGTCTTCAACTTTTCCTTATAAACACAGATAACCTATTTCAGCTCTTAACAACAATGTATGCTTTTGTATAACTACAAATAACGATTTTGCTAATGTAAAGATCATCTGTTTATCTTTCTTGAGAAATAAAAATTATGTACTAATATTATTCAGGTACTTAAATGTCACTTTTCTCTTCAAACCATTATATTAAATAATTAACTTTCCAATAGCCCATGTATGGAAAGTACTATAATTTCCACTATATAAATAAGAAAAATCAAGAAGATAAATTACTAGCCCAGGGGGAATTGAATTTCAGAATCAGAATCCAGGCTACTCAACCTTTCCAGTTCCTTCCTCAAGTTAAGCCTTCTTACAAAAATAAAAATATTCAAAGTTTGTCTTCTTAGTTCATACAGTAACCAGCAAAAAACATTATCGTACAAGAGGTCCAGCTGACCTCAAAAGATCTGAAAGCGTTATTGCTTCTCTCTGCCAAAGTAGGGACAGATAACAGAAGGCAAGTGTCTGTGGCATGGTCATCTTCACGATTCCTTTCTCCTTTCGTTGTGAGTATTCAACTCCATCCAGAGATCCAGAGCAGACAGATGTTTCTTAGGAGATAAATGGAGATTTTTAAAAATCCAGGTAACTTATTTGGACAACAAATGAAAAACAACATAAAATCTAAACAGGCATTTTAAATATTGGCATGGTTTGGCTCTGCCCCCACCCAAATCTCATTTTAAACTGTAGTTCCCATAATTCCCATGTGTCATGGGAGGGACCTGGTGGGAAGTAACTGAATCATGGGAGCTGGTTTTATCCACGCTGTTCTCATGATAGTAAGTAAGTCTCAAGAGATCTGATGGTTTTATAAAGGGTAGTTCCCCTGCACATGCTCTTCTTGCCCACTGCCATGTAAGATGTGCCTTTTCTCCTCCTTCACCTTCCACCATGATTGTGAGTCCTCCCCAGCCATGTGGAACTGTGAGTCCATTAAAACTCTTTTTCTGTATAAATCACCCAGTCTCGGGTATTTCTTCATAGCAGTGTATGAAAACGGACTAATACAAGTATCTTAAAACTAGTTATAAAACCTTTACAAAGAACAATTTGGCAATAAAGTGCAATGAAGGATTAGAATAAAATCAGCCAAAAATGTAATCATGGGTTATCTGTGGGAATGGCATGGGACAGGATTCTAAAGAGGGATTTGGGCCCTGTGTAGTGGCTCACATCCGTGATCCTAGCGCTTTGGGAGGCTGAGGTGGGCGGATCACTTGAGGTCAGGAATTCAAAACCAGCCTGGCCAATATGGTGAAACCTCATCT